CCTCTGCACAGCGCTTCACTGCTGGGCTGTGGGGCCAGCGCATGGATGGATTTTCAAATCTGGAGCTCCGGGGCAAGGTCTGCACTGAGGCCGCCTTCAGGAGTTGCCAACAATTCAGCGGTCCTGGGCCTGGGACTGGACACTTGGGCCATGTGTCCCAACCTAGCCCATACTACAGACACCTGGAAACGACACGCAGGCCTAACGCCCAGGCAAACCTACCCAGACGGTGGGAATCAGAGCCCCGTGCTGTGGGCCCAGCCATGCGCATTTAAAAATAACGTATTGTGGGACTAGCGGATAGTGTAAGGATTTCATCACTGGACTCCCACAGTCAGCTGCAGTTGGAGTCCTGAACCTGGCGTGTGCGTGTGTGCCCAAATCCCAAGGAGAGCTGAGGAAAAGGGATTGCTGCATGGCCATCCCCCCAGGGGATGATTCCTCGCTTTCTATCTCTGTCTCTCCTGCAAGTGCATGTGCCCTATAGCAAAAATCTAAAACAAAACAAAACAAAACAAAACTTAAAAATTAAATAAATGTATTGTCAGGCCAGCAGGTGGTGTGGTAGTTAAGGTGCTGGATTCCACATGGCCATCTCCACAGTTCCAGTCCCAGACCCTGCAGCTTAAAACACACATCAGGGGCGTGAGTGCGTGTGTGTTCATGCCCCAAATCCCAAGAATGGAGGAGAGAAGATTGTGGTGTGGGGATCCCCCAGGGTGTGATTTCTCACTTTCCCTCTCTCTCTGTCTCTGTCTCTCTCCAGTGGGCACACACTATGACAAAAACCCTAAAAAAACGACTGTCAGAGAGCACGTTGCACTGGCCAGAGAGCAAGCGAGGTCCCCAAGGTAGCATGGTCATGCTGAGATCCCCTCCTCCTCCGTTTTTCCATCCCATCAGGATTTGGCTAGGATAGAGAGCTGCGTTGTTTTTTCCCCCAAGAATTACTTCTTTTTTAAGAGGTTTTTGTCTTAGCGTGTGTGAACTTGCCAGAGAGAGAGAGAGAGACAGACAGTGAGAGGGAAAGTGAGAAATCGTCCCCCGGAGGGATGGCCACACTGCAATCTCTTCTCCTCCATTCTCTTCCCGGGATCTCAGGCACGCATACACATGCCCCTGGCGTGCATTTCAAGCAGTGTGAGTTTCAAGCCACCAGGTTCAGGACTTGAACCATGGCCCACCATGTGAGAGTCCAGCGATGTAACTGCTATGCCATCAGCCGGTCCCTCAAGAGTCATTTTATTTGACTTTATTATTACTTTTTAATTTGACCTGGGGGGGGGGTAAGTGAGAATGTAAGCTGTCACATTTGGGACTTGAACTGTAGTCGGCCACGTGGGAGTCCAGCTCCTTTAACCACCATGCCACCTGCCAGCCCACTCCTGGCCAAGGTCTCAACTACAGTTGCCCACGTGGAATCCAGGCTCCTATGCAAGCGGTAACCGCTGTATTATGAGTACTGATCTGCATGCATGCTTCTTAAAGGCTTCCAGGTGATTCCATGAGTAGTCGAGGCTAGAATTGCACTGAGCTCCAGGACAGAAGGCAGGCAGAGAAGCTGGGAAGGCGAGACTGGGATGCAAGAGGGCCACGTGAAGACAGTGTTCCAGACGCCGCTGACATGCCAAGGGGTGCAGGCTGGTTTAACTTGGGGCAACGAGGAGGCTGGTGACTGAGAAGTGTACGGAATGGAGGCATGGGGGCAAAGAGGGCCTGGAGTTAGTTGAAGGGGGAATGGGAGGTCAGAAAGTGGAAATGAAAGTAATCAACAACTCTTTTGAGGAGTTTCGCTGTGAAGAGGAACAGAGAACTGGGAAGGAATGTGAGGTCGAAGGAATGTGTCTTTTAATTTGCTTGTGGGCTTGTGTGCTTGCCAGAGAGACAGAGGTGGGGGGAAGCGAGCCGCACTCCCCAGGGGGCAGGAATCCCTCCTCCTTTCTCTTTGCAGGAGTTTGGGCGTGCACGCGCACGTGTCCCATGTGCACAGGCCTCGAGTTGCGCAGTCGGCTCTGTGGGACTCAGCTGCTTAACCACCCTGCCACCGGGGACGTTTCCTTTAAGATGTGAAGTTACAGGGGGCCGGCAGGTGGCTTAGTGGTTAAGGTGCTGGACTCCCCCATGGGCGACTGTAGTTGGAGTCCTGGACCTGTTGGCTTGCTTTCTCATTCTCCCTCTCTGTCTCTCTGGTCAAATTGAAGAAGAAATAAAATTACATAAGGGACCGACAGGTGGTGTGGTGGTTAGGGGCACTGGACTCACACATGGCCGACCATGGTTCAAGTCCTGGACCTGGGGCCTGCTTTCTCACTCTCCCTCTTTCTCCCTCCAGTCAAATTAAAATAAAGAAATAAACAAAGTTGAATAAAATAATTACTTAAAAAAAGAAATAAAATTTAAGAAGATGTGAAACTATAAAGCAGGTCTGTGGGTGGCTGGAAATGACGGCGAGGGGATGACAAGATGCTGAGTGAACGGGTCCAGGCGGGAGAGGGAGCAGAGCACTTGGCCTGGATGTGCAGAGGCGAGAGCTGGGACCGGAGCATGTGAGGGGACAGTCCTTCCTCTGGGGGAGGACAGGACGGGTGCAGGTGCTGGACACTGGACGCGTGGGCAGACGCTGCTTGCCCACTGTCTGCGAGGCGAGAGTGGCCGTGCTGGAGGAGAACGGCTGAGGTCTGGGGAGAGGACAGCTGCCACTCCAGGACACAGGGTCTCGGGCAGCACGGAGCGCCTGCCCACGGACCGCGTGTCAGCGAGGACGCAGCCAGCCTGTATTTTCTGTGTGGGCAGCAGCTGGGGTGCAGGCATGGAGATGTGGGCACCTGGGGCTCCCTGTGAGTGAGGGGCGGGGAGTGGGGAGGGTGCAGGAGCACCCCACGGATGTGACAGGGTGGAAGGTGGACGGCAGCAAGGTCACTGAGGTCCGCACAGCTGGACAGTGGTACTGGCCGTGCTGAGCAAGTGCGCTGGGAAAGCTGCCCAGAGGGGATACCTGGGAAGTGGGGCTCGGGACATGTGGGCCACGGATGTGGAACCGAGGCCAAGGCACTGAAAGGCTAGATCCTCAGGGGCTCGGGGCATGGATGGCCCAGGGTGGTGACAGGCGTCTGAGGTTTTTTAGAAGGCCACTGTGGTTGGGAAACCAGCTTCTCTCCCTGTGGGATGCCCAGAGAGTGGGACAGAGGCAGTCTGGGACATGGCTGGGTGCTGCACTGCCTGCACACAGTAGGAGGGTACGGCTCCAAAGAACACGCCTAGTGTGTGATGTCAGGTTTTGGGGTTTTTTTGAGATTTTTGGTATAGGGCATGTGCGCTCACCAGAGAGACAGAGAGAGACAGGGAGAAAGCAAGAAATCACCTCCCAGGGGGGATGGCCACACCCATCTACTCATCCTCCTCTCAGGATTTGGGGCACACACGCACATGTGTCCAGCGTGAATTTCAGGACACCGGCTCTGGGACTTGAACCACATGGCCACATGGGAAGCAAGTGCAGACACCACCTGCTGGCCCTGTAGTTTCATCTTTGTAAACGACCTGTCTTTCCTCCATGAGTGAGAGGCACACACCCTAGTCTCCATGCTGCCACCGGCTCCTGGCTTTGGCAGGTCCTGAATCCGGGGCATGTGTGCGGGAGGGTCAGGGAGTCTCCAGTTTGCAGCCCGGAAGTCCCCACGTGGTGGCCTCACAGGGCGTGGCGTGGCTGCTGCACCGGCTCCTGCCCCGAAGACGGAGCTCCCTGCTGCTGTTGAGACCCAGGCCCCAGCGTGTCTGGTGACTGCCGCTGGCGAGGAACAGCGTTTAGGTGTGCACACCTTTGCGATCCCCCCCCAGGACGCCCCGTTAAACTGGGTCTCTGCGTCGCTCCTTCCTCCTTTCGGAGTGCCTGCGCCCCTTGTGCTGGCTTCCTCCCGCTGCCCCTCAGGGCCTCTGTGTGCTGCCCTCCCCAGCCCTGAGTGCCCCACACAACTTTCCCTTCCACCAAGTCAGGCCCGGCTGGGCAGCGAGTCACGGTCTCCCTCAGCCTGTCTGGGTCACTCTGCCGCAAGGGGCCACACGGGGCCACCACTGTCTGCAGCCCACGGGTGGTAGAGGGTAGGCCGAGGCCATCTGTGTGCCCTGGGCTGGCGTTTGGCACCGGGAGGTGAGAGTCCGCGGGGGCTGCAGGAGGCAGGCATGGGCCGAGGAGGCTTTATTTCCAGCAGGTCTATACCCTGTACACGCGGAAGGGAGGGCCCCAGGGCCAGGGTGCTGCCAGAGGGGCGGGGCACGGGCCTGGGACCCACCGTATCCTGGGGGAGCCACTCTCGCTGCCATTCGGACTGGCTCATGGCCTGTCGCAGGGTGCAGGGCCCTTCCTCCGCTCGCGACTCAGTAGTGTCACCAGCTTGGCCTTGAAACCCGCCTGCGCGCTGGGGCGGCCGGCGTCGGCAGCCTCGTCCAGCTCCAGCTCCAGCAGCCGCCCGGACCGGGGCTCCACGGTG